AGGAGTGGGCGAGGAGGAGGTGGAGGAGGAGGAGGAGAGGGGGAGGACGGGGACACAGAGACGAGACTCTGGGATATGTGCTATTGGTTAGAGGCTTTTTGTATGTGTATGGGGATCTCGCGGCACGCCTCTCGGGGACCTCTGGAAAGCAGTTTTGAACCCACCTGGCGGCCGAGGTGGAGGAGGAGGAGGAGGAGGAGAAGGAGGAAGGGGACACAGAAACAAGGCTCTGGGTTATGGGTTTTGGGTTAGAGGCGTCTTGCACCAGCTTGGGACCAATTTGGAAACAGGTTTTGCCGTCGTGGGGTCGTCTTAGGCCGAATTGGGAGGCGTCCTGGGCCGTGTTGGGATTCTCTGGGGCCGTCTTGAGGCCCTCTTGGGGCGCCGTGGGGCGATCTTGGAGGCTCTTTGGGCTACGTGAGCCGACGGAAGCCGGGAAAGGCAACAATTGCAAACATGTTCAACCACGCAATGGAAATGTAATGAAATGCGTACTGTGCGCCTCTTTCAGATGTCCTGGGGGTCTTCTTGGAGACTTCGTGGGCGATAGTGAAAGCCTTGTAGGCCATCTTGAGGCCATTTTGGGCAGTCTTCGAACGTTCTTGGGCCGTGTTGGAGCCATCTTGGGCCGTTTTGGAGCCATCCTGGGCCGTTTTGGAGCAATCTTGGCCTCGAGAGCGCGAATCCTTTTTTGTGCGCAAACGCAACCCCGCCACCGTGCCTGGGTTGTTGATATGAGACTTGTGCGGTGATCGTTGGGATCTCTTGGCGGGCTTCTCGCGGGACTCTTGGAGGCAGTTTCGAAGCCTCTTGGGGGCCGTTTTGAGGCCGTTTTGGAGCCTCTTGGGGGCCTCTTGGGGCCTCTTGTGGGCGTCTTGGGGGCCTCTTGGGGCCTCTTGGGGCCTTCTGGGGCCGTCTTGGGGCGGAAGGCTCGGATTGTCGGTTCGGGCTCCCCCTCTTGGGCACCTCTTGGGGCCGTCTTGGGGCCCTCTTGGGCTGTCTTGGGGGCCTCTTGGGCCGTCTTGGCGCCCTCTTGGGCCGACTTGGGCGCCTCTTGGGGGCCTCTCGGGGCGGTCTTGGGGTGCTCTGGGACCGTCTTCAACGCCGTGAAGGCCGAGAAGTAGTATATGATCAAAATGTACGTTTTCCCATAGGAATTTGACGATTTTCGGCGCTTCGGCCCTTCTGAGGACTGCTCTTGGAGGCCTCTTGGGCCGTCTTGGAGGCCTCTAGGCTCGTCTTGGGGGCATCTTGGGCGTCTGGGAGCGCTCGTTTGGCGCCTCGAAGCTCTCGTGAGCCGTTTTGGAGGAGTCTTGGGGCCTTCTTGGCCCGTCTTGATCCCCTTTTGGGCCCAAAAGAGCCCCGTGACGCGCTCGTGGTGGGCCCGGGGGGGGGGGGTTCGAATCTCCGGTTTGGGGTCCCAGGGGGGGGTTAGGGGGGGGGAACTATCTCACACGCCTAGAGACCCACAAGGGGCCGGCGGACTTCGAGCCTGCGCGAGGGGGCTCGAGAGAACTGAGGAGGCGGCAAGGGTGTCATATTACGATGACGATGTTGTGATGGCATATGGTGCGCCAGATTGCGTCATGGCGTTTTTCTGCCACGCGAAGCGGCGCTTAGCTGCCCCAGGCTTGTGGCGGCTGATAATTTCGGGCGACGAGGTGCACACACAAATATACAGTTTTTTACGTACAATTCAGTATATCATAACACAGTAGAGTAGAATCTATATTTGCGCACATACATATACACTTGTTTATGTTTGTGTCTATATGTATAGGGTTTCACCGTCTTTCGGCCTCACCATCCATCCGCCGATCTCATTGTCGATCTTTCTCTCGATTTCACTATCCACCTGCGCGACGGAGAACAACGGCTTCGTCTGTGCTGACATTCGCGCGCGAGTTTCCCGCGTAAGGTCGTGCGTGAGCGCACTCGTTTCCAATGCAGCGTGCCGCGCTGGCGGCCCGCGAGGGCCACCGCGCAAGGATGCTATGCCATCTTGCGAGAGACCCTGTTCTTCGCGTCGCTAACCTGTCGAAACAGCCAACGCGCCGCCAACGCGTCGCGTCGCCAACGCGTCGCCAACCTGTCGAAACAGCCGCCGGGACGGTCATCGGGAGGGCCCCGGGGCCGTCCACAGACATGGCCTGGCACGGAGAGCCCGCCTCCCCGCACCGTCCCCAGGGTCTGCGCGGCCGGCTCCCGTGGCGTCTCCAGCGGGAGAAAGGCTGGGCATTCCGGGGGCCCCGTCCCGAAGATCATCAGGGCATCGGATGCCCCCCGACGTACGCTTGGCTTTGCAGAGAGAGCGTGCGATGTGGCGCCGCTGGCCCGCTTCTTGCACGCTGTCCCCCCCTCCTCAAGGGCATAGCGTGCACGGGGGAAGCCCGGGTGGAGGGATGGTGCGCACAGAGTGACCCCTCGCAGGGGATTGCCTCACATGGATGGCGTGCACGGAGGAAGCCCTGTTTTTGGGGATCGCCTGTTTTTCGGGATCGGTGTTGCACGCTCTTTGCGACGCCTACCGTACAACGTATTGAATAAGATCAAGACGCATTTTGTTCATCGTTTTCGGCGTTTGGGGGCCCTTGCCGGGCCCCAGGGAAGTGGAAGTCAAATACGACTGACGATGAAAAGCCACCCCTGGGCCCTGGGTGAAGTGTCAGGACTTCCGTGGACCATCGGATGTCTTGTTGTGGATTTCCTGAGGTTCTTCGCTGTTTGCTCTGCCTCCTCGGGACCCTTCCTGGGCTCCAGGGCTGCCAATTTCAAGAACAATTCGGGAGAGGGGGCTTTGGAGGTGGGGTTGCCTTGAGGCGTGGCTTCGGGAGCTTTTGACGGCTTGCAGCGCCCGCGAATCGCATCGGCCGTCTACCTGGATCTGGCAGGCTGGTAGATCTAGATCGCGCCGAAACGACAGCCTCGGTCATTTTGCAACGTAACTTCGGCGGCCAAAGGCAGCAGTGAGCGCAGAGAGGGGAGTAGAGTGGACCCCTCCTGCCGCCAGCGCCAGTCGCGCGCTCGGGGGCGTCGACGAGGGGGGATGAGGATCAATGAAGCGGGCCAGATATCATGGCTGGGACATGAAACCTCCCGGGTTTCATGCTTCCCCTCCTTGTTCTTCGCCCTCGTCCGCGCACGTGTCTCGGGCCCTGATGTGTGAACCACCCTCTTGTTATCCTCCAGGCCTCCCAGATGGGGTCCGAGTAGATGGAGGCGGAGGATCTGGCCGCATCGCCGGTGCATCGGCGATTCGGTTCGACGTGCAGCCAGATCTTCTACACGCCGACGTCGCCGATGCGTCGCCGACGTCGCTCGGCGGTGCGGCGTGATCCTCCGATTACATCTACTCGGACCCCATCGAGGAGGCCTCTAGACATGCATCGGCGATGCATCGGCGAAGCATCGGCGATGCATCAGCGATGCCGGCCTGGGAGGCCTCTGCATCACCGCCTCTTCGGCGCACCCCAGGCGCTGCCCAGTGCCAGGGTCGGGCGGCCGTGCCCTGTGCCTTGCGCCGGGTGCGCGGCGCGAGCCAGCGAGGCCTGCGGCCGACACTGGGCGAGGACTCGGCTCAGCCAGGCAGTTGCTGCCGCTGCTGTGCCACAGGCCTCCGTCGGGGTCATCTGCTGCGTGGCCTCGTGCGTGAGCCCGGAGGGACCACGCCAAGGCAGTGGCGCCGTGCGTCTTCCCATACGCGTTCGGATTCGTTCTGCTTTTTCTCTTCCCTCCTCGCGTCCTCGCCCCCAGATGTTTGGGTCTGGACCCCGCCCCCAGGATGGGTTCTGCGCCGCGGGGCGTTCTCTGATTACCCCCTCCCGGAGCTTGGATTGCGGGAAAAGGCGCCCAGCTGTGACGGAGACCTCGACGATGGACCCGGGCCCCCGTCGTCGTGTTTTTTTTTTGCGTTGGCCCCTGGAGGTCTGGACCCCTTCCGTCTCGTTCTGAGCCGCTTCTGCACAGCCCCGTGAGGCCCAGTAAAAGCACTCCCCCCCTTCCCCCCCGACGCCGAACAGACTGCCCCCGAAAGCTTGCCGCTTCTTTTCCGCCCTGTGGTGTTGGACCTTCGTTTTGAAAAGAGTACCCCGCGTCACCCGCCTCGCCTCCTTCCTCCCAGTCCTCTTGCCTCTACTCTCCGCATGCCCATGTCGGCACACCCCTCACACGTTTCGTGGCCCCGTAGGGAGCTCCACCAACTGGCGCCAGTGACAGCGCCCGCATGGCGGCCCCGCCCCATTTTGGCGCACCCCTCGCACGTCTCGTGGCCCCATATGGGGGCTCCACCAACTGGCGCCAGTGACAGCGCCCGCATGGCGGCACCGCCCCAGTCCGGCACACCCCCCGCACGTTTTTTGGCTTCGTCCACCTGCCTTGCAGTGCTCCCGCCTGCATACTTCGGTGGAAGTAGAGTGCCTTGAATTTTCAGGTGGGCATCGCGCGGGGCAGATGGGGCAGGTTGACGCGCTGGCGCGTTCGGCATGTGGCCGATGATGAGTCGATTGCCGGTGACCGCCATGGCCGTTCTCATCGCTACCATGGTTACGTTGTTGACGACCGTCGAGGTGATTTTGGTGATGACAGTCAGTACCATGATGATCAGAACCGTCATGATGATACGAGCATGATGACCACTCTCATGATGATGCATCATGATTATCATCATGGTCATGATGACGATGAGCCCCCCCCGGTCTTGATTTCTTGATCCCACTCTCGAGTATGTGTTATACCAGTATCTCGGATCAGAGAACTCGTGTCCAGTCCATGCGCACTTTTGGGTCGGATCCAGTCCCGCCCACCCCGTCATGTCCCGCACCGCGGTTGGTCAAGTCCCAGAAGAGTCGCATGTTGAAGGAACATCTATTTCCCCTGATGTGTGGTCGGGCCCTTCGCCAGGACATCTTCTTCGAGGCGCGAAGACGCCGTTGCAGGTCGGGGCCATCCGCGCGGGCGTTGCCTTGCGTGCCCCCCGCGCCGGCGGGGGCAGTGCGGCCGAGGTGGAGCGGCAGCTGCAGCGCCGGCCGAAGGACCGGGCCACAGCGGTGCAGTTACAGGCTCGCTTCGCGGGCCGGCCTCGTCGTCTGGGAGGGACGGGGTCTATTCGGCTGCACGTTAGACGTTAGAGTAACCCTTCGCCAGAGTGACCTTTGGTGCGGGCCCACTGGGGCCCCCCGATCGCCGAGCGTGATGCGATAGTAGCGTCTTGCGCGCTTGTGTTTGGCCTCCCTCGCGGCCCCCCAAAAGCCGCGCACCAAAGGTCATTCTTACCCAGGGTCACTCCTGCGTGTAGCCGATCTACATCCACACATGCTCGCGCCGTGGAGAAATCACGAAGGAAGATTTGTGGCCTTCTTCGGTCTTTGGGGGCCTTCGCTGGGCCACGGGGCCGTCATAAAACGACTGACGAGGAAAAGCTCGCCCTGCAAGGGTTGCGGCTTCAGGAGCCCTGTATGGAACAAACATCAGGACATCGGACGTCTGGGTTCGTGTCCGCAGCCCTGGGCCTGGCCCATCCTTTGCCCAGGAGCTGTGTATACGCTCTCCCGCTCTCCCGGCATGACGGCATGACCAGGGAGGCACAACCAGCCGCTCTCGGGCCCAGGCTGGGCCAGGTTCTGGTTCGATGGGTCGCCCCATCGCCGCCGTCGCCGACCACCCCGAGGGACGGAACCAGTTTCAGGGGGCCACTGCGCGGGCATCCGCGCGCAGGCTGCCCGCGCAAGAGGGGGGCGCGTGAGGGGCCCCCTCTCCAGCAAGAGGGGAAAACCGACACGGACACGCATGAACGTCGATTTCCAGGGAAGTGCTCGAGGATGTGGGGAACGGAGATGCAGACGAAGATCAAAAACATAACATGATGATATGTGTGATCCTGGAATTTGTGTCTACTTGTCGGTGTCTCCCTGATCGCCTTTCCCTACGCGCGGTGTGCCGCGCTGGCTGCCCAGTGGTGAGCTGTCGCGAGAGGCCGCCGCGTCGGCCTGCGCACCGATTGGCACCCACCCCTCTGCACGTCGCTGCCGCCCAGCTCTTTGCTCGATGGCCCTCGGGCGGCCCTCTTGAGGCTCAGAAGAGACACTTTTTGCAGCCTCTGGGGCGTAAACTGTCGGTATCCGCTCTCCCCTCCTCCCGGGTAACTGCGAGGATCGTACCGGGGGGGGCGGGACTGGCCCCCCCACATGGTGGTGCTCTCGCGCGTACGGATTGTGGCGATCGCAGCGCACCCTCGCCCCGACATGCCCGTTACCCTGGCACCACCCATCCCACCCACCCCGGTAGCGGCGGTTACCCGAAACAATACGGAACCATCTCGACTCCTCTCGGGCCCCAGGGCGCCCGCCACTTCCTTCGAGAGCAGGGCTTCCTGCGCTTGATCCCAAACGAGGACACGTTAGAGGCGCTCGCCTGCATGGGAACTCCGTGTCCTGCGCGCCCCCGGGCTTGTGACCGTCTGCTGTGGGGCGCCCTCGGCAGCCTGCAGGCAGCTTTTTTAGGGTCCGGCGGTTGCCCCGCTGATCGGGCCCGCACGCCCACGCCCACCCCCGGATGGCCTGCCCTCCTCGGTTGCGCAGGGATCGGAGGGGGGTCCGCAGTACTTGTGCGCGCGGGTATGTGGCAGGTGATCGGCCAGCACCTCCCCCCCCACCGCAACCCCACCGGATCACTTGGGTCAACGCCGAAAAACCATTCGCACGCATGCATTGGCTCTTGCACGAGGGAGGGCGATGGCTAGGCGAGGCGGGGTGAGGGGGGGGGGGCATGGGCTCTTGGAGCCATCCTGGTGTCCTTCTGGGGCCATCATGGCCATCATGAAGAGCGTACGGACCAACGACGACGAAAATACAGGGCTCCGAGCTCTAGAACGCAGCTGCTCCTACTGCTCCTCGTCCAAGCCGCGGCCGGCGGAGCCTTTTGGCATCTCTGGCGCCCGTGGTCACGCCAAGGGCGGCCGGCTGGTCCTGGGCACGGGGGCCACGGGTCCTGAGGGAAGTGGGTCCCTTCAAGGGTGTACGCCGAGTGCGCGTTCTGCGGCGATGCATCGCTGCCGCTCGGGCCGCGCTGGTGCTGCCCTGCCCCTCGTGCCTATCGCTCTCGCTGTCCCCCTGGCCCCCCGTCCGGCACCGGTGCCAGCCTTACCCAGCCGGCTCTTGGCTCAGGCGCGGCTGTGTCGCCACGGGGGAAACGGATCCTGAGGGAAACGAGTCCTGAGGTTCCTTGCTGTTTTCGAGGTCTCGGAGCCCTCATGGGCCCAGGACCGCGAGAAAACGACTCAGGATGAAGAGCTGGTCCCAGGGGATGGCCCGAGGGTCCAAGGCCCGTTTCCCTCAGGACCCGTGTCCCCCCTGCTAATGGTCCGTCGTTGCAACCGATCGGTGGTTCAAAGATGGGGTCCTGAGGGATGAGGTCCTCAGGACGAGGTGCCTCAAGCCATATAAATCCACCCTGGGAGCTAGGACCCCATCCCTCAGGACCCCGTCTTTGAACCACCGAATCGATATGGGTACGGAAAGAATCCGAGCTAGAGTACCCTGAGATCCTGGCGTCTCATTTTTTTTCGAGCTGGGCGTCATTTTGCCCGGTTTCGCCCCGGACCGTCATAGACCGACCCAGCTCGAAGAATTGCGCGGACAGGTGGGCTCTAGGGCTCCAACCGTGATTTTTCACGATGTCTCTATTTTTGGGAGAAGTCGGATCTCAGGGTAGTTTGGCGGCGAGCCCAGCGGGAAAGTGAGGGGGCCAGCCTTCTCAGAAGGCGGCGGGTCTTATGAAGGCGGGGGGGCTTCGCAGAAGCCCGCCGGGCTTTTAGTGAGTGTTCTCAGGATCCTCCCAGGGCTTTAACAAAACAAATCCGTCTGGGCTATGACGCGCGTATGCCCCTCCCCTCCCCCCCCTCCCCCCATAAGGTAATGTTTCCCCCCTTAGTGCAGTCTGGGGGGGGTCTGCGTTGTGCCCACTCCCGTCTGCCCCCCCCCCATAACGCTCGTTATTGCTATTGCCGCGAACCAATTACCCAACCCATGTGCATAAATGGCAGGAGGATTTGGCCCAAACTTGGCAGGACAATGACATTGCATGCGCCGTTATATGTTGTGCAAGCTACATCGGGTGCGCTCACGTGGCACGATTCACAGGACAACAACAGAAAAACGAGGAGCGAGGGCCCAGGCTTGAGGAGGACACGGGGCGGGAACGACGGGCGGGAAAAGGACGCGTGAGGGGCCGAACCGTCAGCGCGGCAGCAGCAGAGCGAAGGTGGCAGGGGGGCCAGCTTCTCGCGCTTTTCCTTGCGGGAGCTAAGCGCTCGAAGGCGCCGCTCCAGGCCTGCGGGCGGCCCGCGGGCCAGGAAATCCAGGCCCGTTGTCGCGTATCGTCATGAGGTTGTCCACGGTCGTTGCCCAGGTAACAGAGAAAAAAAGGCGTCACTCCGCTGGACCACGCATGGATGGCGAGAACTCCTGGTGTTCCGCGTCAGAAGTCATCCCGCTGGACCCCCCAGCAGCCCTCTAAAGTGGCGACAGTTTCGCAGATCGCAGTCCCCGAGGGATGGTGAGGTCTCCTTGCTGTCCGCTTAAGACGTCATTCCGCTGGACCCCGCAGCAGCCTTCGAAAGTGGCGACAGTTTCACACATCGCAGATTTCACAGGGATAGCGAGGTCTCATTTGAATTTGGGTAAGACGTCCTTCCGCTGGACCCCCCAGCAACCCTGCAAAGTGCCGACAATTTCGCAGATCGCAGCCCCCCAGGGGATGGCGAGGTCTACTCGTGGTCCGCGGAAAGAGCCATACTTCTGGACCCCGCAGCGGCCCTCGAAAGCGGCGCCAGGTTCACATATCGCAACCCGGATGGATGGCGAGGTCTCATCGCAATCTGGGAAGGACGTCGCTCCGCTGGGTTTTCAGCAGCCCTTGAAAGTGGCGGCAGTTTGAGCGGCAGTTTGAATCTGGGTAGGACTTCGCTCCGCTGGACCCCAACCTTCGAAACTGGCGACGGTTTCGCAGGTCGCAGCTCCCCAAGGGTGGCGAGGTCTTATTCGAATCTGGGTAGGACGTCACTCCGCTGGACCCTCCAGCAACCCCCGAAAATGGCGACCATTTCGCAGATCGCAGCCCCCCAGGGGTTGCGATATCTCATTTGAATCAGGGTAGGACGTCACTCCGCTGGACCCCCCAGCAGCCTTCGAAACTGGCGACGGTCTCGCAAATCGCAGCCCCCGATGGATGGCGAAGTTTCATTTAAATCCGGATAGGATGTCGCTCCGCTGGACCCCCAGTAGCCTTCGAAAGTAGCGGAGTGTTCGCAGGTCGTATCCCCCAGGCACGACCTCACCCCGCTGGACCCCCCAGCAGCTCTCCGAAAATGGCGACAGTTTCGCCGATATCCGCCCCCCCAGGGGACAGCGAGGTTTTATTTGAAACCGGGTAGGGCGTCACTCCGCTGGACCCCAAGCATCCCTCGAAAAGTGGCGACAGCATCGCACCCGCCCAGGGTACGCCACTCCGCTGGACCCCCCAGGATCCTTCGAAGGTGGCGACAGTTTCGCAGACCGCAGCCCTCAAAAGATGGCGAGGTTTCGTTTGAATTCGGGTAGGGCGTCGCTCCGCTGGACCCGCAGCAGCAGGGACCTTCGTAAACGTCATGGCGACAAAGTGCCGACAATTTCGCAGATCACAGCCCCCAGGGACGGCGAGTGTCGACAATCTCGCAGATCACAGCCCCCAGGGACGGCGAGGTGTCATGTGAATTTAGGTAAGACGTCATTCCGCTGGACCCCCCAGCAGCCCTCCAAAGTGCCGACAATTTCGCAGATCGCAGCCCCCCAGGGATGGCGAAGTCTCGTTAGAATCCAGGTAGGACGTCATTCCGCTGGACCCGCCAACAGCCCTTCAAAGTGTCGACAATCTCGCAGATCACAGCCCCCAGGGACGGCGAGGTGTCATGTGAATTTAGGTAAGACGTCATTCCGCTGGACCCCCCAGCAGCCCTCCAAAGTGCCGACAATTTCGCAGATCGCAGCCCCCCAGGGATGGCGAAGTCTCGTTAGAATCCAGGTAGGACGTCATTCCGCTGGACCCGCCAACAGCCCTTCAAAGTGTCGACAATCTCGCAGATCGCAGCCCCCCATGGATGCCGAGGTCTCATTTGAATCCGGGTAGGACGTTACTCTGTTGCACCCCCCAGGAATCCTCGAAAGTGGCGGCGGTTTCGCAAATCGCACCCCCCCGAAGATGGCGAGGTACGAGGCTAACTGGCACGCAGGAAGGAGCGAGGTGCGAGGCAGGAGAGAACAGGAAAGGAGGCGGGAGGCGGGAGAAGGAGACGTGCGAGCAGTGCTCGATTCAAAACGAGTGCCCGACGCAGGAAGGTTGGGAGAAATGCGCTCGAACAGGAAGCGCGCGGCATGAGAAAGAGGGCCTCAAAAAGGGCTCTCGTAGCGCCCTCCGGTGGTCGGCTCCCCCCTTTCTTCCGCCGCCGCCGCCCGCTCCGCAACCTCCCCTGACACCCGATGCCTTCGTTTCTTCAGTGCGATTTCACCGATCCCCGTTTTCTCATCCCGAGCCATTTTTGGATGCCCCCGTGGCCCAGCGATAGCCCTTGGAGGCCGAACATCGCCAGAAACCTTTACGTTTTTTTTTTTTTTTTTTTTTTTTTTTTGTTTTTTGTTTTTTTCCCCCCCCCACTTTTTTTAAATCGCCAGAGACCTCCGCTTTGATCTTTTCAAGACGCGGGTGGGTCCACTTGGATCTCTCTGCGTCATTGGGCGTACCTCCGGCCAGGCCTGGGGCCGCTGTGCATGCGGGCGGTCAACGCAGCCCGCGAGAGCCTGGCAGGCACAGCCTCCTGCTCGCTTGGTGTGGCCCCCTGGACGTGCTCGCGTCGCTGGAAGGTCGCGACGGGAGGCTTCTGGCCGTATCTGGCCTCCAGCAGGCCTTTCGCCCGGCCCGGGGCCGTCGAACAGACGGCTCGGGACGAGAAGCCGGCCGTGGGGAAAGGGTCGGGGCTTCTGGGTGTCTGGCCCGGAGAACATGGCATCGCCTGTCTGGGGCTGGGTCTCTCGCAGGGGCGCGAGCACTCCATCGTGCCCCGCGCCTCGCCGCTCGGGCCGAGAGTGGCTGTCCGTCTCCCCGGTCGGGAGGCCCTGGTCCAACGCATGCAGGTTTTGCGGCCGAGCGGCCTCCCGAGCCATCGAAACCTGAAGACCTCAGTCTCGGCGGCGAGCGAGGGGGGGGAAGTGAGAAGGGGCAGGCCTTCTCAGAAGGCGAGGGGCTTCTCAGAGGCCCTCCGGCCTGCTGAGAAGTTTCCTGTGTCTTCGGGGAAGGCTCAGAAATCTTCTCAGAAGGCCGGGGAACTTCCGAGCCTTGTGAAAAGTCCCGCCCCTTCTCACTTCCCCCCGGGCTCGCTGCCGACAGTTTTTACTGGACCAGAGGTTTTGCGGGTCTCGGAGGCTTCGGAATTCTAGACGCTTCGCCCAGGCGAGTAGAGGGCCGTCCTGAGGGACGCTTGGGCGTCCTGGGTGCCTCGGGGATGCCTCTTGGGGCCGCTTGGGGTCCTCTTAGGGGCCTCTTGGAGGCCTCTTGGGGCCATCATGGGGCCATTATGGGGCCATCTTGGGGCCTCTTGGGACCTCCTGGGCGCCTCTTGGGGCCATCTTGGAGGAGATCGATCAAACAAGAGGGGAGCTTCAATTAGGGCCCCCCCCTCAGGAGGCCAACATGGGGCCAAAACCTTCGTAAAACCAATGGTTTTGGCTTCCTCGCCGAGGCCGTTTTGGACGCCCCGACACCTCGCGGAACCCCCCGTCCAGGTCCAGGGGTCCAGGGGAGGTGGTAGGCGGAGGGGTAACCCCTTCCCCGAACGAGAAGAAGGAGGGGTGGAAGAGGAAACTCTCTAAACCACCGACGTCCAGAGGGCTGGTGGGATTTACCCCAAACCCGCAACCGCCCCCCCGTGCAAGTGTCGATGATCCTCAGGGCGTTGGTTGGCCCAATGTGAGCGTGTTACCCCTTTCCGCCTGTGTCGGCCATCGTTGCACCACCTGCGTCGTAATTATTGAAGGGCTTCGGTGGAGAGAGTTTTTTAGGGTCTGCCGATAACCGATAGCCCCGTTTATCGGGCCTTCCCCTTCCCTCCCCCCTTCCGGATTACCTGACCTTGTCCGTATGGGGTTGCGCAGTGCTGGCGCGCGCGGGCATACGTGGGGCTGCCCGAAGCGAAAAGGCTGGGTTCTTGGCCAGTACCTTCCCCACACCACCGGATCACCTGGGTTATCGCCGAAACATACTATCTTCAGCACGCGTTGGCGCTAACACACGTTCTGGGGATCGTAGACATTGTGTGCTGCAGGTTTTGCGCCGAAGCCCGCAGACCCCCCGAGTCCCCGAGAGCCGGTTCGGGAGGCCAGGCCTGCCCGTGCCTGCCGCCTCCTTTCTCGTAGGATGCAACTCTCTAAGCCGGAGTCGGGGGGCAGCATAGATAGGGGGTTTGGAGCACGCGCAGCAGTGTTTGGCAGTAGTTTTTATTTTTGTATGGATGCACTAGGTTGCGATCTGGACGCAAGAGTTGCGCGTGGATGCAATCGTGTGTTCTTTCAAAAGGAGTAGTTTACGCTCTGGTAATAGTTCGTGCTTTCCGGCAATAATTTGTGCAATAGGTCGCGCCAGCGAATTATTGCACCTCCCACCGCCCCCCCCATTGGCGTTGCCCCCATCGCTCCAAGTCTAAAAACTCCTGGGCAGTTGGATTCAACATCGGCGCTTGTATATCTCTGGTCGGAAACTTGCCTGGTCTTACTGAATCCCGTTCAGTTCCGCTCAATCCCGCTTGATCTGACTTGATCTGGCTCAACCGGGCTTAATCCCAGGCCTTACCTGGCCGAGTCTGGCTTAATGGCCCCTCAATCGGGTTTCGCAGCTCTAGATCGTTCTGACGAAGACCTACTAGAAGTTGCCTCCTGACTCTGCCGCATCACGTTGCGTGGCTCTACGGCCTCGGGCGCCTGCCCTGCAGCCGCGCGGGCGCTCGTTCGCCCGCGCCTGCTGCTCCTGCTCCCCGCAGGCGCACCTCTACATCCTCACTAACCTGTTCCAGGTATCCCAAGGCGACTGCGCGGGGCCGAGGGCCGAGGATCGAGGCTCGAGGCGCGAGGATCGAGGCTCGAGGCTCCGAGATCAAGGATCGTGGATCGAGGTTCGAGGACTGACGATTGAGGCTCGAGGCTGGAGGCTCAAGGCTTGAGGTACGAGGATCGAAGATCGAGGTTCGAGGGGAGGGGAAGGCGGTCCGGCGGCCCTGAGCTTCACCGAGTGGATGTTCATGGGCCGAGTGGATGTTCATGGGCCACGGGTGGCCTGGGGACCCTGGCTTGGCCCGGGACCTGGCTGCACTTGGCTTGGCTCGGATGGCCCGGCCTGACCCGGCTTGACCTGGCTTGACTGGCTGACCCTGCTTGATTTTAGCCTGGCCCAGACGGCCGCTCGTCGGTAGCCTGCTCCCCCACAGCTTGGGTTGGGATTTTGTTCTCTCGGACCACCCCCCGCTCCTTCTCCTCCTCCATCTGCTCCTCCTTCCCTCCTCTTCCTGCACTGCTTCCACTGCGCGAGGCACCTGCACACCTCCCATGGCGAGAGTCCCTGTGAGTACCACCTTTCCTCCCTCCTCTTGCGTACCATTTCCCCGCATGACACAATCGATTGCCCCTCCAGGGAGGCCATGCCAGACCGCGCCAGCTATGCGGATACCCGACAGTTCATGAGGGATCGCGCCCTCCCCGGTCCACCAGTCCCATGCGTCTCGCTCGCCCTTCGCAGGCCGCGCCAGACCCCGCCAGCTATGCGAGTGCAGCGCTGTCATTCAGGAGTCTCGGCGTGGCCAGGGCCAGCGCGGCAGACCCAGCCAGCGCACGGGGCGGCGAGGAAGCGGTGACGGGGCGAAAGCGCTGAGCACCCAGCCAGCGCATGTGGCTGCCACGAGGCGGCCACTGGGCGAACCCCGGCACACCTTTCCGATTACTTCTCACTGTCCGGGGAGCCTAAAGACGCCTCTGTCTGGGTTCCTCTTGGGGCGCCCGTTGGGCCGTCCGGAGGCTGTCGTGGGCCGTCGTGAAGGCCTTGCAGGCCGTCTCGGAGTCATACTCAAACGTCTGTGGGCGCTCTTGGGGCCCTCGGCCCGTCTTGAGGCTCTCTGGCGTCGGGCGAAGTCACGACCCGAGCCCTGGGAGCGCCAAGCGAGGTAGTTCCTGAAGTCGGGGGCCTGGGGCCCTTCAAATAGTGTTTACAATACCATGTAGTGAGAGCTCGAGATGACTTCAGGACGCTGCGCTCAGTGCCTAATCACGGTGGTGCAGAATGCATAGCGTCGGGAGCCGAGAGTCGAGAATACAGAGTAGAGAGGGGCCAGCAGAAAGGAGAGCGTGGAGTAGGAGGTGTAGAACATTGGGCGTGCAAATGGGGGCATATGGTAGAGATGGAACTTGTGTGAGTTTGCGAGTGGAGAGGCACGGGCGGCCAGACTTTTGACCCCCGCAGGCGAGCTGATCAAGTGGCTCAGCTCTGTGATGCAGGAGGAGGCACGGCCCAAGACCCTGCTCCGAGGATGACCCGGCTCCAGGCGGGCACACGGGAGGAGCACGAGGCAAGTCTGTCGCGCGCCAGTCAGTTCAGAGCAGGGGGAAGGTAATCGCCATGTGTGCCTTCCCTCATCGACTCGAACAGGGAAGCCGGGGCTGGAAGCGGCAAAGGGGAATCACACATGCACAGTCTACTCGAGGCAGTCCTGAATATCATATTTGTGGCGAGAAGGAAAGTGCTCCGCGGTGACTGAGGCGGCCCCAGAGCCTCAAGGCACAACTCGCGACGTCCGCCCGACATTGTCCCAGATCCAGTCGACTTCGATGAACAATGGAATCGCGTCCTTGCGAGTCGAATTGCTTGCGTGCCCGATCTGGGTTTATTCTGTGTGCCCCTCAATCGACACGTGGCGAATGTGGCTGCATCCCTTCTGCCGACTCTTTCGTCCTGTTGCACCTTGCAGTGTCATTGCGATCGCTGTTTTCTGTGCTGCCACTGCTCATAATATCCTTACTGGTAGCTTTGCGACTGTGGGTAATACAAGCCCAGCTGCGTTTTTCATAACAAGTCGATTGGTCAGAATGCAGCCAGAGTTTCCTCAGCTGAAACAGCACCACACCAAGACAGCCTGACAAGCACGCGCAAAGACGCCACGACAGCACACATTGCGCAATGGGTTGCGCCAGTTCGCCACAGGTTGCGCCAAGCACCCCGCCCCGCGCCCTGCCGAGTCGCGATCTCCCCTTCGGTCTACCCTCTCTGGGTCACTGGGTCACCCCACACGCTGCGCCAGATCTCCCGCGCACTATAGAATTGCTGTAGGTTGTCGCCAGACGCTCCGCGATCGTCCCGCTCTGTCGACATTCCAGAGCGCCACAGGCTGTCGCAAGAAATCCCGCATCCTTCCATAGCTTGCGCCACAGGTTGTTGTAAGACCCCGCGCCGTACCGTACCGCGCTTTCTCAAATCTGTCTACCGTCTACCGCGCTGTCGTCGTCGTCATCGTCGTCGTCCTCGTCGTCGTCGTCGTCGTCGTCGTCGTCGTCGTCGTCGTCATCGTCGTCGTCGTCGTCGTCGTCGTCGTTCTCGTCGTCCTTGTCCGCGTCGTCGTCCTCGTCCTCGTCCCCGTCGCCCTCGTCACCGTCGTCGTCGTCGTCGTCTTCGTCGTTGTTGTCGTCGTCGTCGTCGTCGTCGTCGTCGTCGTCGTCGTTCTCCTAGTCGTTCACGTTCTCGCCCCCGTCCCCTTCCTTTTCGTCGTTATCGTCGTTATCGTCGTTATCGTCTTGAACGTCGTTATCGTTATCGTTGTCGTCGTCGTCGTCGTCGTCGTCGTCGTCGTCGTCGTCGTCTTCGTTGTCCTCCTCGTCGTCCTCGTCCTTGTCCTTGTCGTCGTCGTCGCCCTCGTCCCTGTCGCCGTTCTCGTCTCGTCCCTGTCGTCGTCGTCGTCGTCCTCGTCCACCTCGCCCTCGTCGTCCTCGTCGTCCTCGTCGTCGTCGTCGTCGTCGTCGTCGTGGTTTTCGTCGTCGTCGTGGTCGTCGTCGTGGTCGTCGTCGTCGTCGTAGTCGTTGTCGTCGTAGTCGTCGTTGTCGGCGCCGATGGCTTTGAAGGGCCTCCAGACGCCTCCAGACGTCGTTACGCCTCCGGAGACCTGCAGAGACTTTCAGAGGCAGCCGTCGTTGTGGTCGTCGTCGTCGTCGTCCTCGTTGTCGTCGTCGTCGTCCTCGTTGTCGTCGTCGTCGTCGTCGTCGTCGTCGTCGTCCTCGTTGTCGTCGTCGTCGTCCTTGTCCTCGCCCTCGTCCTCCTTGTCGTCGTTCTCTTCGTCCTCTTCGTCGTCGTCGTCGTCGCCGTCGTCCTCGTCGTCCTCCTCGTCGTCCTCGTCGTCGTCCTCGTCCTAGTCCTGGAAGGCCGCTCTCCTCTCGAGCCTTTGAGAGATAAGCGACCTCCCCACGCGTGCCCGCTCGCGCCCCCAGGCCCACGGCGGGGGGACTGCGGACCGCGAGGCGGTGGTGCCCGCGGCTCGCGGCGCGAGCGGGGGCCAGGCCCCCGCAGGCTCCCCCTCTTCTCCCGAGGCACGCCCTTCCTCCCACCCGCGTGCGCGCGCATGTATGTGTACGTGCTGTTCATCACCACCATCGCGCGCATCATGAGTCACCAGATCAAGATCGTAGGGTGGAACCCGTTCTCGGCCATAGGTGTGGGACGCATAGACGAGATTTCTGAGGAATTTAACACGTTCCACATCGTGATGATGCCTGGGACCAAGATCAGGGCCAAGCAACGGGCCCATCATCACTACGATAAAGGTCATCGACACTGGTTTCTACACTTCGGGTGGGATCGAGGGAGCATGACAAACTCATCATGTGGATGCAGCATTGGGTTTCGGAATTCCAGGTTCCGCACTCAGGACATCACTCGTATCACTACGCCTCCAGCAGAACTCCAAGGACGGGGCGGATGCGCCGACCTCATGCAGGGGAGTCTTCGGTTACGACTTATAGTGGCCTACTTCCCCCCACATCCCGCACAAAGTACCCCCGCTGCCGTACGCCACTGGGAACTCAGCTTTGTCAGGCTCTGGGAGTGGGTCCTTCGGGAAGCATCCTCAGCACCATCGCGCATGGTCCCTATCATTTTCACGGACCTTAACCAGCCCCTCGGCCGCGTGCACCGTGCCCCTGCCCACGACCAGAGTATAGGACCACACCAGGCTGGCGCCGAGTCTGAGCTCGGCCAACGTGTTCATCGCAACCTATGTGAATCTGAGTTTGCGTCTCCCAACACCTTCTACGACCTCGGCTTTAGCTTCTTTGGGAACCGAGAGTCCCGCTCGCGTATTGATTATTTTTTCTGTCCACAAGCTCTTTTACCCTTGGTTCGTCGCATGTATATGTGTTGGCGCTCACACCGACGACTGCATTACCTTCCACACATGCTTGATCATATACCGATGGGCATGGAGGTCACAGTCTCGGCACCCCCTTCACCTCAAGATCGGGGCTATTGCGTTTGGGATTGGGGTCTCTTGGCCGCAGGCCTCGAAGTTGGTCACAGGCGTCGGGAATTTCTTCAGGACCTCCACGCGTCCCTGAGCCAGGTGCGCCCCTCCTCGAAACGATTCTCACCGACCAGGACCCTAGCCGCCACAACGCGGTGCTCGCATATCTCATTCGGCAGAGTGCAGCAAAGTTTTACTCCAAAGATCATGCGACCCCCCAGTGGGTCAAGGACGACAGAAAACATCGACTTACTCTTTTGCGTGAGCGGGCTGATCTTCGACAGCAGGGTCTCTCTCCCGAATCCAGCGAGCTCAAGATCATATCCCAGAAGATTAAGAAGTTCGAAAGGTTCAAAAATGCGTGGTGGAGACACAGCATAGAACAGGAGTTGCGTATGGCGTGGGCACGGCGCGAGACAGCACGAGTGGCAGAACTGGCACGCTTACGCGCAGGCACGCGTACCGGTGTACGCAAGCGCTCGTACCTCGCCCTCCCCTCGGCTCGCCCTCTGGCGTCATCCTTCCTTGGTGCTCTCTCTCGGCCTGGAGTGGAGGGAGGGCTTACTGCGTCAGAGGTCTTCGACAGTATCTGGACAGAGGATTGTTCGGCAGTCCAAAGCCTACTAGCTCGCCCTCCAGATCAGGTCTTCCCTATTGGCGTATGTTGTGAGGAGCCCTCGAGTGGCGACATTACCCAGGCACTTGATGATTTAAGATTTATGCATGCACGTTTGTTTCGTCAACGTCATCGTCGGTACAGTCCCCCCTGGTCGTGGCCATCCGAAGTGAGTATCATGATCATGAACCCACGTCACCTTAGTCGGCCTGGCTTGCCTGGCGCAGGTGTCGGCCATGACGACGCCGATTACCCTTTCGGTCTCGGTTGGGAGCCACAGAGAGCACGTGTTCCACGACCCGACAAACGTCGCTTAGGAGGCTTCAGTAACGAGGTCATGGCTGAGGGCCCTGCTGCACTGGCTTCCCTACTAGCTCACGTTCGGTGCTCTCGGCGGTTACCTCGGCAAGCTTACACCAGCCACGGCATTATGATTTCAAAAAAGAACAAACAGCCGACGGGGGACCCTATCAAAGACATTAACTCGTGCCTCAGGATGATTCATTGTTTCTGCCCATGGTGGCGACTTTATTTGCGAGTAGGAGTACTTGATTATGGATACGCGTGTGTATTTCCTGACTGGGCCTATGGGGGTATACGTAACAGACGACGTGAGGCCTTGATGAGCATCGTTAAGATACTAGAATGGAAATTACGCACATGTAAATTATCATATCTAATCAAGTCTTACGACATGCGGAACGCTTTCGGCACCGGTTTCACATCCAAGTTGATCGAGAATTCTGATTGGCGATGCGAGTCTCGACACTTTCGGCAGATGCTGGCCATGCACCGCGAGAAGGCGGTGATTCACGTTGACGCGGCGGACCGTAGTATCTGCCTTCGACCCGCGTCAGGAGGGAGGATGGGGGATTCCAATGAGCCCGAGTTCTTCATGGGTAACTTCTACGGCCCCGTTATTAGGTGGAAGCTCCAGATGAAAGACCTCACAGGGCCCCTCCTCCAGGCCACCTGCCCCATCACTCAGAAGCCCCAGGACCTTTCCCTCGGCGCCTTCATCGACGACCTTATAAAAATCATGATTGTTCCAGATGGTTCTTATCGTCAGGCCCTCACCCTCGATTTGATTGATAACAACACCCTCAACGATGAGCTCGAGCACGACGGATATGCCCAAAACGTAGCGAAGCAGGACACAATCATCAAGCTAACCACTACGCAAGCTACGAAGCAAGCCGAGCAACATATCAGCGGAAATGCCGTCACTAACTTAATTCATCTGGGAGGGTATGTTAACGTGGGAGGGTCTAACGCCAGGGAGGTCACGGAGCGCATACGGTCCTGCAACATAGGTTGGAGCATGCTCTCTCGCTTTCTTACCTCACCCGCCCCCATCATGAGCAAGCGGATGACGTTCATCGCCAACGTCGCTGGTCGTGCCTGGTCGGGTCTTG